CTTTTCTATTTATTAGGAGATATAAACCAAACTTATCCTATAATAGGAATAGAGAACCTTGACTTGACTAAAGAATAGAAGGAGGACATTTATGTCTTTTTATCAAATTATGTCATCCCTTAGGTCAACCATTATATTGCTTGTTAAACTCAATTTCAAAGGATGCGCCGCAATCTAAGCCTACAAATTAGAAAAGTATAGAAAACACCAACTTTTGCTAGCTGGCTGTGGAATTGTAGCATGAATATGTACAACTAGCTTATTTATAATATGACAAAACTCGAGAAGAATTGTTGGATTATGATATTTTTAGTACGTTTTATATATCAAATAACGTGAAGTCTAGCTTGTATTGAATTAAAAAAAATATATATATTAAAATTATTTATTACTAAGTAGCTATGTTATATAGACACTTCAATTAGTGTGACGCTTCTGTGTTTGGATCCGACATGTGTCAAATACCTATACTCATCAAATATTGTATCATAGTCATTTTTCTTTATTTATCAGAAATACTACATATTTTTAACTCAAAATTATTATTAAATAATAAATAAATATTTATATTTAAAAAAAATAAATTAATAACAAGTATAAAACTAAATTTATACTATATAAATGAAGAATTTTAAACAAATTAATCAGATTATCGATGATGTTTCGCGTTTGTACATTTTTTAAAAATCACGTATCAACGTGTCTAGATACACCTATTCATGTTAGTGCATCATATACCTAAGTAGAAATCCGAGTCTTCAGATTTCAATTTGTTTATTTTAGTTGTTCAATAAGTTTAATTTATTTATGGGTAACTTAGCAATTTATCAAATAAAAGAATTGCTATTTATTTTAGCTATCATTTTCAAATACAAGTCACACTGTGATGTGTTTATCATGATTAGAGATCATTTAAGAATTAAATCATGATTGGTGTACAGACTACGCAGTTCACCAATTTGAAAGAAAAAAAACAATTTTCCCGTCACAATATTTTGAAATCAAAATGAAATGTAAACCATGATATAAAGCAAAGAATGTACAAATAGCAAAATCCTCTACATATATAAAAGAGGAGGATTTTTACGGTTCAAATTGCATCATGCTAACATGTTGCTGACGTCACACAGCACCAACGAAAATGCCTTCTTTTTTTCTCGACTTTTTCCCTCAACTCAATTATTTGCTTGTTATCGTCTTTCTCTCTCCACTACGCCATCTCTCTGTCATTTGAAACCCTAACCAACTTCACATGTATCCTCCATTGAAGTGTAAAAGTAAGTTGTAGAATCAACAAAATATGACATAAATTCCTTCGTTTGTTCTCCCTGCACCATCGATTTTTTGTGCTTAATCGTTTATCATTTTCGCTGTTTGAAATCCCATTTTCGATTTCTTATACAATAACAGAGGTTTGTTATGTTTTTTCAGGTTGTTCTTTGTTTCCCGGCTTTTCCCCTCAATCGTTCGCTTGTTCGTGTATCTCGAGCTCTCCGGTACGCCATTTCTCTCGATTTAGTCTGTCATTTTGAAACCCTAACCAATTTCACAGGTATCCTCCATTCAAGCGTAAAAGTAAGTTGTAGAATCAGCAAAATATGACATAAATTTTTTCGTTTTTTCTCCTGTACCATCGATTTCTTGTGCTTAATCGTTTATGATTTTCGCCCAAGTTCTCCCCTTCCATCTGTTGGTAACTATATTACACACGTCCACACTTTGTTTTGTTGAAGATGCATCTGCTATATTAATGTAATGGAGTGAAAGGTGTGAATTTTGTAGGGATCTGGGTATCTGTTCGTTCAAGAAACTATGCTAAATTTTCTTAACGAAAGATAGATTCTTATGGATTGATTGTTATTTTTTACTAAAATAATTGCTTTAATCTTTTTTGGCTTTTCATTGTAAATGGGCTCGATAGAGAGAATTTTCTGGGGGGTTTTTTTTCCTCTTATAATTTTAATTGAAGTGTTCATTAACTTATCCAACTGTTATTTGGGATATCTGAATTTTTGGGTTGTTGTTGTTGTAATTTTAATTTTAATTTATTTAGGTAAGAGATTGATTTGCTCAGGGTAACATCCCTGAACTTGTTGTCCCTATTCAGGGTAACATCCCTGAACTTTGGAAATATTTAATATTTTACCAAACACCTGGCCATAGAACATAAACATTCAGCTTTCATGCTTTGTCTTGATGTTGAAAACCATAATGACTTATTTATTTGCCACTGGAGGTGCGGAATTTTTTCTGTACTTATGTTGTAGAATCTAAACTATTTTTCTTTCAGAAGTTCTTAGTCTCTTTTAAAAACTTAGTTTCATACTTTGTTTCTTTTATGACCCGTGCTATGTGGTTCCTCTTTCCAAAGAGTAGTTTCCGTGCTTTAATGTATGTGCATTGCATATCTTTTAATTTGCTAAGTATGTTCTTACTGTTGTGTGGTATACAATTTTACATTTGTTGATTTTGTAACAGTGACACACTTTGTCAATGCTGAATGGCAGCCGACCTTCAATTTCAAATTTTACCAGACAAAATAATTATATTAGAATCCAAACATGCCTCAAATTTAATTACATCAAACCCTAGATAATAAATTTAGTTCATGAATACAAGAAATGACATATTAAAATTTAAAATAAAAAACATGGAGAAGAAAAGAATAAGAAAAACTATTTTGCTATTTGAATTCTTCTCCAAATTGTTGTCGTTTTTGCTCTCAATGATTCATTTTCTTCCTTGCCTCCTAAGCCATCTTTTTTCTCATTTTAACTAGGTTTTCAAGTTTGTATTTATAGTCTCTTAAAGTATCAAGACTGATTGGAGTTGGACCGGACCGAAAAATTTACAAAAATCACATTTCTTTAATTCCTGGGTGGCGGCGCCGCTACGCCACGACTTCTGCTGGTTTCCTCGGTTGGACGCTGCAGCGCCCAGGCGCCCATCTTTCTGCTAATTTTGGGGACTTTCTTAGGCACCTAGGCGCCCACTTGCGGCGCTGTGGCGCCCGTTACTTCCGTCATTTATTTGCCTCCGTTTTCGCCTCTTTTCCACTTCATCTTTCTTCCTCTTCAAGTCCACTTATATGATCAACACGTGGCTTCATCCCAAACTCCATAATACGCCATTTTCTCCAATTTACCTAAATTACAAAACAAAATGAACAAAGACATCAAAATGCTCAAAAGTGCTCAAGAACAAATATGAAACTATGTTTTAAAGATATTAATTCAATGAGTGAATTACTCTCATCAAAGTGCAACATTTTAACCATCATATTGAATAGTATCCTCGATCCAAAGAAAATACACTCTATAGTATTTTTACTTTATTAGTTTTAATCCAAACATGGCCATTAACGTTTATTTTCTTCAAATATGAGTTAGGAATATTTAGATTAATCATTAAGTAGATAATTCTCATGACTTTAGTTTAAATTGTTATCAAAATTTTACTCCACGCCAAACAGAGACTAAAAATGTATAGGCTAAATTAGGATTGTTATTTGACAAAGTCAAATCCATCAGTTCGGGTACATAGTTTTCTTTTGGAACAATCTTCTTATGCTTTATCCATTAAGTCAAATTCAATTGAACATTCGCAAGTGTGCGCAGTAATCAACGCCCACCAAATTGGACACTAACCAAACTTGTAGGTCAATTATTTGATTGCGTTCATATCATAAAAATATGCTTATTTTAGTTGTTTGATATGATTTAACTATTTTTGGGGATTTATCGAGTAATAAAATACTATTTTTTAGTAAACTAAGGCCTATGTTTGATTCCCTCTCCTTTTCTTGGATTTTCCTACTTAATCAATGTTTGATAGTAGAACTTTTCTATGGAATTGCTTTTCCCATTTTGAGTTCACACGTCAGGTTTTCCCACTTTTTGATGAATATGTTTTCTCATGGTTTTGGTGGTTTTACATTTTCCATTTTTTTTTTTTTGACAATTTGAACAAATTTTAGACACGATGGTAGAAAAAATTATCACTTTAATGGACAAATTCCATAAAAAACAAAGTAAAAAACGGACACCAAACATTCAACATTTTCCAGGTGGAAAATTATACCAATCAAACAAAATTAACTACAATTATCAGGAAAACAAATTCTAGACAATTCAATTCTCAGTAAAATATTTTCTTTCCACCCATTTTCCACATTTGCAATCAAACGGATCCTAATTAATATTATTGTTGACGATAAGACAAGCTCAACACAATGAATCAATTTGTAAGAATTTTGAAAATAGTAAGAAACTCGATAGAACGTTAAATTCCCAGAACAGTCAAAAATTATTTAATACCTTATGATTTTGATATGCACATCATATTCGATAGAAAGATTAAATATTTTCCTTTATCCTTAAAAAAAATATTATTAATTTTTAAATTTTACAAAAAATATATTTATAAAATATTTAATTATTAATGCATGATTTACCAACTATTAACAAATTCTTCCCCTCAATAGAGATCAAGTGGCCCCCACCGTCCAATAGACCAACCACTAATAAGTTGGGATCGAATTTATGTGGTTAAAAATTGATGAAATAAGTGGTTGAAAAGTTGCGAATTCCATTAAATATGTTGTTAAAATTAATTGTGGACTTTGACTTATATTAAAATTTAGATTTTAATCACCGCCAAACAAGAGGTTAAATAATTTGGATATGAAAAAAAAAAATAATAATTAAAATTAAAATTAGATTCATCCGCAAATGGAGCAAGCAGTCAAATTGATAGTCCAATTCACGCGCAATAGCTCGATTCAACTCTCTATAATTACAACCTCACAACTCACTGCTTCGCCGCCGGTATTTACTCCCTCCGGTCAACTACTTTTTCTGATCCTCTCTCTCTCTCTGCATCTTCTATATTCAGATTCAGAAATGTATGTTTCTCCTCTGGATTTCAATTATCAGCTTATTGATTGATTGATTGATTTTTTATTCTGTTGTTGATTTAGAACTAGTTCCATATTATTGGAAAACGCATGTGTATTATATACGTTCCATTTGATGATTTTTCAGCTATAGGTTGGTTCCAATTTTTATACGTGTGTGATGTGATTGATTAGATTCGTTCTGTGTGTATTTATAATATAATATGTTTTTCAGAAAATTATTTCTTTTTCAAATTTTTACATGTATAGATTATGTCGAGGTGCTTACTGTTCACGGCGGTTTCGGTTTATACACTGTCGATCAAATAGAATTACAGAATTTTGATAACTTTTCGTGTAAACTTCTGATTCAGTTCAAATTCTATAATTTATGCAGAAGTGCATACTTAGGCAAAAATGGGTTTGAAGTATAGCGATTTTCTCCCTGAGGAGTCGTTCAAGAGCTGGGGAAATTACGTAAATGCGTTGAAGGAGACTCCTGCAAGACTGGCGGATCGGATTCTTACCCGGTCTAGTGTCGAGGCAGAGCTAGAAGTGAAGGCGCGGAGCGAAAATGAGATGAAGAGGACGCTTTCGTGGTGGGACTTGATCTGGTTTGGCATGGGTGCCGTCATCGGTGCAGGAATATTCGTGCTTACCGGCCGTGAGGCGCGTCAGGGAGCTGGTCCTGCTGTGGTTCTCTCTTACGCAGTCTCAGGGCTATCGGCCTTGCTCTCAGTTTTCTGCTACACCGAGTTTGCTGTGGAGATCCCTGTCGCAGGTAACTATTTGCAACTCTAATGCAACTATGCGACCATTGTATGTATTCCAAAGACAAATATTGAATTTTGAAGTGATGCCTCTAATTAAATGTGTAATTCTCCAATGATTCTCTCTGTTAGTATAATATGATTTCGTTGCAATGTGCAAGTAAAGAGTTTCGTGTTTCTTTGTAGACATAGCAAGAACATTATATCATATTGTAGATTACAATGTGGTCACATTCATTGTATCAAGCGAAGTAAAAAACTGAGATGAAAAACCCTTCACGTGACTGAATTCAAATTTATTAGGAACAGAAATAGTTGTTGATATTCATTTGTACCTTTCAGTAATCAATTCTACTGAGTTACCGAGCTCTCTTTTATCATTTGATGTTGAGCCCAAGATAATTGGGTTTTCTTGTGCAGTGGAATTTCAGAATGTATCTGAAATATTTGTCTTCATCTCAATATTGTAGGGGGTTCATTTGCCTACTTGAGGGTGGAGCTAGGCGACTTCGTGGCCTTTATAGCTGCAGGAAACATCCTTCTTGAGTACGTCATTGGTGGTGCTGCAGTGGCTCGTACGTGGACATCCTACTTTGCAACTCTTTGCAACCATACGTCAGATGAATTTCGCATCACAGTTCATCAACTAGCCAAAGGATATAACCAACTTGACCCCATAGCTGTTGGTATATTAGCAATCATTTGTGCAATTGCAGTTCTAAGCACAAAAGGCTCTTCTCGACTTAACTACATTGCCTCAATAGTCCATATGCTCGTCATTCTCTTCATCATCATTTGTGGGCTCATTAAAGCAGACACTAAGAATTACACTCCTTTCACGCCATTTGGTCCTCGCGGTATCTTCAAAGCTTCTGCAGTCTTGTTCTTTTCTTATGTTGGTTTTGATGCTGTTTCAACTATGGCTGAGGAAACCAAAAATCCGGCCAAAGACATTCCCATCGGCCTTGTGGGATCGATGGTGATCACCACAACTATCTACTGCTTGATGGCAGTAACTCTATGCCTGATGCAACCGTACCAAACAATTGATCCTGATGCACCATTTTCTAGGGCGTTTGAAATTGTAGGCTGGGGATGGGCTCAGTACATAGTGGCTGCAGGTGCATTGAAGGGAATGACGTCTGTTTTGCTCGTCAGCGCAGTAGGCCAAGCACGTTACTTGACACACATTGCACGTACTCATATGATGCCTCCATGGTTCGCCAAAGTAAATACAAAAACAGGAACACCAATCAATGCCACCATTGTTATGCTAGCTGCTACCGCAGTTATTGCCTTCTTCACAGACCTTGGCATTTTATCCAACCTTCTCTCAATCTCAACACTCATTATTTTTATGCTAGTGGCTGTTGCTCTACTCGTTCGTCGGTACTATGTCAGTGGAGAGACAACAATCGAAAACCGGAACAAACTAATTGTGTTCCTTCTTCTTATCATTGGATCATCGATTGCTATTGCTGCTTACTGGGGAATTAGTGAAAGTGGTTGGATTGCATATTGCATAATTGCCCCCATTTGGTTTTTATCCACACTTGGACTTTCTATTTTCGTCCCACAAGCTCGTAAACCTAAGCTGTGGGGCATTCCATTGGTTCCTTGGTTGCCATCGTCATCAATTGCCATTAACATCTTCCTTCTTGGGTCCATAGACAAGGATTCATTCATAAGGTTCGCCATATGGAGTGGTTTCCTATTGGTGTACTATTTCTTCTTTGGACTGCATGCATCATATGACACTGCCAAGGAATTTGAAGGAAAGGCAATACAGGAAAGGAGATTGAGGATTGTTGAAGAGGGACAAATTCCAGCAACAAAATCTGGCTTATTACCAAATGATGGAATTGAACCTAGTCTTTGAAACAGTATCGAATTAGTGTTATTTGAATTTGTGCATATATTATTTTTCATTGTGAATGTATTTCCTTTTTCTTGCTAGTTTTTATTATCAAATTATAATAGTCAATACCCAGATTGAAGGGAAGGGAAACAAATTTTATGTGCTAACCTACTTAAAATTGATTGAATTTTTTCCCTGCCTTTACCCCTTTTTGCACTTTTTCGGGTGTTCAGAAATCTGCAAGACCATATTGATGATGCGTAGTGTTGGTTACCTCCACTAGGGTTATAACTTGAATCCTTGTGGCGCTAATGTTACATTAATGATAAATAAAATTAAATGAACCATTCAATTCCATATTTCATTTAATCTATGAGATTATAACCTAAATGGGGCTAAATGACATTATTCCATTGACGACAGGTCTCTCTCTTCACCCACTAAACCACGTGATTTCTACAAGTTGTTCTATATTGATGGTACAGAATGATTCTTAGGGTCCGTTTGATTGCAATTGTGGTAAATTGATGAAAAGAAAATGATTTTCAGAGAAAGTAATTGCCTAAAAATTATTTTACATGAAATTGTTGATTAAGTGTGTTTTATTGCTATAATTTTTCATCCCGAAAATTTTAAAATTTTCTATTCGTTTGGCTTTGTTTTACATGAAAATTGTCCATTAAAGTGATACTTTTTTCACAATTAGTTATAAAATTTGTTTCCATTGTCAAAAAGTGAAAATAAAAAATGGAATTATTTTTAATCAAAATATAGTGTTCGTTTGATTTTGTTTTAATTGTAAATTGTGAATTAAAGTTATTATTTTTTTTTTTGGTTATAAAAAAAAAAACAAAAACAAATTTTTTTTTTCAAAGTTTAGTGTTTGTTTGACTTTATTTTACATGAAAATTGTCCATTAAAGTGAATTTTTTTTTTACAATTAGTTATGACATTTGTTTCCATTGCAAAAAAAAATCAACAGCTACCTAGAAAATTTTTTCCCACCACAAAAAAAAGTTTGATGGAAAACCCGAAAAATAGGTGCGTGAGAGGTGGGGAGGGAAAACATTTTCCGTGGAAAATTTCGCTTATTAAACAGTCAAAAAAGTGAAAAATGAAAAATATTTTTGAAAAATTTCGCCAATCAAACGGGGCCTTAATTCTTATTATTAATTTGGGTAGAAAATCAACAATGATCGTCAACACTTACAATAGATTAGATTCTTGTTTGCAGTAATAAATATAGCAACTAATGATTTTGCTTTCAATTTATACTGAATAAATTCGAAAATATTTTTGTGGGAGCATAAAAGTTACTTTAGCTAAATTATAACTTAAGCAGTTGGTGTAAAGAGGATTTGTACGTCTCTTTTATACAGCAGAGATCAACAATGTGTTTGTCAGTTTTATAACGAGTTTGAAGAAACGAACTCGATAAAACTAAAATACATATAAAACTAGAGGCAGCTTGGCGCCAAGCATCTAATACGAATCTGTTAGCCATCAAATTAGACGACAGCACGTGGTTATCTGAAGACACGAATAAAATGGGAACGAGAATCATCAGCTTAGCTCATTGCAAGTGCCATTAGCATACAGCAGGCAAGGGAACTGCTAATAATACCAGTCAGCAAGCAGCAGAATTCCTTATCCTTCCGCATCGTCAAAGCCTACAAGTCTTGGTTCATCTTGACACGATTTTGACGCAAATTTACATTTTACTTCCCAGATCAATTCTTCTCTTCGTGTTCTGCAGGTCCACACGAACTGTCTGTTCCAGCAGGAGAATCTGTCTTCACAATGTTAGAGGTCCCTTCACCTTCTGCATGTGAAGGATTGGTACCAGATTCTCTCTGTGTTAAGTCAGGTGACTGTAAACTATCTGCAGGACCATCTACGGAAGACGAGGAAGTGTCTCCAGCATCCCTGCCAACGTCATCTGGCCAACCTTCTGATTCAACTTGAACCTCACGATTCGATAGAGATGGTGGCTGAGCTGCATCAGATGTCTCAGCAGAATTCAAGATCGGAGAAAACTCGACCGACTCTGAAATTTTCATTCCTTCATCCGATATTGGGGATTTCTCATGCCCACCATTTCCAATTTCTTTTAAATCAGACAAACTGCCGGGCACAGGATCATCTAAACTCAATTTTGGTTCAGGAGGATCAGATGATGCAGTGTCTGCTAAATCCTTGTCTTCATTGATGCTTGTGTCATCTGCAGCCCCTCCATTGACAACTTCACCGGTATCGATGTTAGGGGATGCAGAAGCAACTAAATCAGTTGGCGGTTTATTAGCTGTTCTGTCATCCTCAAATGCAAACCAATTGGAGTTTGTGAAAAGAGAACCACTGTAGCCATGAGCAAAAACAAAGGTATAAACACGAATACCAATGAAAAAATGTAACAAGGGCAAAGGCACATCATGATATGCAAGCAATTGAGAAGTGGATAAGTTTGGGTCTCATCGAAAATATCACACTGACCATCAATTAGAGAGACCAAGTTTTGCATTTTATTCATTTCAGGAGTGATTACGAGCCTATGCAGTAAAACAGCTTCAAAGCTTCTAAGAATGTAAAACATGGTGACTCTGATTGGTCCAAGAATGAACCAAGTTGAGTTTCATTAGATTACAGAAACATTTCAAACAAATCCATGTGTGACAACTTAAAGGGTTTCACTAAAAGGGCCACAACATAAAATATAACCAAAAGTTAACAAATCTTCTGCTAAAACATTACAAGCAGATGAGATATTTCCATTCACATAGAGATATCAAAGAAAATGAAACCAAAAAACTCCATCCACGTACCTTTCCTGGTCATCTCCTAAACGAAGGGAAGAAATGACGACTTCTGCAGATTCATCATCAAAGTACACATCCTGCCAAAAAGCCAAAGTAGGAACTCTCACATACACACACAAAATTAATTCACAGAGACAAGGCTTGATAAATATAAATGAGTAGAGGCCGCACAGGGATGTGCATACGATAAGAATATGGTGCTAAAACTCAGCAGAATAGGGATGTGCATGAGTATGATGCTGAAACTCGGGGCAAGAGTGAACTTAAGTTGACTCTTTCATGTTGAATAAGTGTAGGAGATAAAAAATTGCTGTTAACTCAGTCAACTAGCAGATATAGTTCTAACTTCTTTACAGGACTTCTTAAAGAAGGTCTCTTCATTCGTACTGCACTGGTCTACCAGCAATATTTGTTAGCTCTCATGAGAGGCTATTATTAAGAACCTCAAACCTTACTTCTAGGATGCCAATTGTAGGTTTGATCCTTGACTTGCTGAGGCATAACGTGTCTCAGGGCTACTAAGGTGTTTCCGCGTTTCTCTTCCCTTTTCAGATTAGTTTATTACTGGTTTCAGCTTTTTGGTTTATTTTTCCTAATAAGAACGTTTTACAAGTTGCTTCCACTTCTAATAGCAGACAACTTTCCACTTCTTGTAGTAGACAATGTTTAAAAAAAGGCTAAATTGAGTATCAAGACATTTTACCTCTTACCTCTGAGGCAAGGCATAATCCTCGAGACAAACTAATAAAATAATACAAAAGGTACAAAATATGATCATGATAAGCCATAAACCTTTATTAAAAAGTAGATATCAAAAGAAATTAACAAAATTAAAAGTCTAACTTGCAAGAATACATCACCGGGGGGCTAGGAAAGGAGAAAGTACCGAATAAGACTAACAGATAGGCACACACAGTAGAAAGAATAGAAGGAAAGAGTTAAAGTACTAAATAATAAGGGTTTAGTCTCCTACTTTTTCATCGTGCAAAGGCAAAAAAGCCATCAACATTTTGCGGTATAATAGAATAGCTCAGAAGGCTAAGGAAAATAATAAAATGACCAGAAAGGCAACACAAATAGGCGAACACTTTATTCGCCATGAGGCATAAGCCTCACTAAATCGAGGAGTAAGCCTCCAAAATGACATTTAAGGTATAAGCTTTAAGGCGCTTAATTAAACCCTCACATGAGGCGGAACTCTAGGCATGAGCCTCAAAAGGTTTTTTTAAACAATGATAGTAGATTAAAATTTCGTTAAGCGATTGCTAAATTGACAACTTTGTATTTGCTATATCAATCTATCTTATGTTTGTTTGTAAGTTACGAATTCTTAATTTGACAATTTGATCTATAATGGTTTTTTTAAAATGGCTAATGGTTTGTTTTGAGGGTTAAGCCTCAAACACCTCAAAAAGACTAGGATCACTATCATTTTTAACCTAAAACTAGAAAGACAATGGATGATGAAGTCGTCACTATTGACCAAGGCTAAGACATGTACCTCATCATCCCGTTCAGGTGAGCCATGAGCCTGCACAAAGCAAACAGAGAATAGTTAGTACACAATGGAATAATACAAGAACTAATATAATCCACTTCATTTTTCACTACCATTGACCCCAGTTGCAAGTCTTCATTCTTCTATGGACTTCAGAAAGTAATGTTCACCTTCCTAATATAGAACAACTGCCCCTTTGATCATTGTTTCCCAAACTACACTCCATAAAATAATACCACTTACAATTTTAAACAATTTCACACTTGGAGCATTGCCACACAAATAGCTAATACCATGAATTCTAGCATAACACTTGGGAGATTAATGTAGCAAAATACTTCTTAAACCTCCATCAAATGCGAAGAATCAGATGCCAATCAACTTCTATTGCAGCTTACATATGTTGACTTAGCTTTAAAAACTTTCTCATATATTCCCTTTTTATTGAAAAAAAAGTATTTAAAAGCACAATATTAGGAATTGTACTAGTTACATAAAGCAATTGTTTTTGTATTGTGGTTCACTTAAAACGGGAATTTGATAACACAGCAATTTCAAAATTCACGGTGACTTAACACGTCTACAAACTTTGTGAATAGAATTTAAAATAAGTTTCTTATTTATGTGCAAAGTTAACTTGAGCATAAAAAGTATACATGAGAAATGGAAATACAAAAAATATAAAATATCTTAAATGCCAAGGATAGGCTGTTCTACAACATATAACTCCGTGTCAATGGTAAATATTCAAAGCCAAGTTCATATTTAGCCCCTGTTTCAACCCCATTTTATCAAATTTCATTTTTTTTTATCAAAACTTATTTTCAATCGCACATTCTCCCAATAAAATATTTTACACAAACCCAAAAATAATTCCTACATTTTAACCACACATACTCTAAAAAATCACTATTACAAAACCTATTTTCCCCTAAAAATGAGGCTCAAACACACCCTTATTGGTTACAATTTACACAAGCTGTCACAAGCTTCTTACAGTCAAGTGTTAAATTAATGAAGTGTAACCTTCATCCTTTATGTTCCTTTATTCTAATTTTCTTTTTATCCTTTTTTTCTATCAAACTTGAAACTACATAACTTTCCCAACTGTATAATATATTGATCTATGACTCTACATGATAACAATACTTGGTTAATCTCACGGAACAGGTGTGATATGCACTACACTTTTGCATTCTAAAGAAGAGGCTTCAATGATAAAACCCTTAACCAGTGCAACATTCACATATATAGGGTTTGTTAATCAGAACAGCCCCCTTGACCTTCATGGGACGATTAAAGAGAGGCAGCCTATGGAAATCATCCACCAGAAATTCATACTATACAGATACACACAACCCGTTCCCAAACATTCCTATTTCAAAATCTCAAACCTTCAAAAAATAACACTGTATATCCATCCATTATAATTTTCCTATTTCCAAATTTGCAAGCAAAGAAGCAATTGGAAATCAATTGAGACTCCATAGTCAAGAAAGCTTCCATTTATATTTCAGCTAATGTTTTTAGCATTAACTAAATGTAGCATTGTGACCTCCAATTTTAAAACAGAGAGTGTCCTGTTTCTAGACAATAAAAGCATGTTACATAAGTGTTTATAAACAGCTTAAATTATAAATAGATGGAAACGAGTGGTGGATAAGTGGAAAGTACTTAAGAGTCCCTCAAAATGTGTGGATAAGAAGTGGCTTGAGTGTTTATAAACATGAGTAAAACATAGGCTAATTCTCCAAACAGTGTTCTCTTTTCAAGTGTAAAATAAAAGGATGCTTGAATAAAATAGAGAATAATGAAGAAGTCACAGAACGCACCTCTTCAATATCATCACTGCTATAGATTCCATATTGGAAGGCCTTGCTCAAGTTATTTGCCAAAGCTGCAACATCATAATCTCTATCTTGGTAATCATCATCATCACTATCCCTTGTCCGATCCTGCAGCGATGTGGGCCTCCTGCAGCAGATGATATAAAAAATAAATCAATAACATAAAGTAGAAAATGTGTTATTGCTTAGTTGAGTTAAGTTAGATGGTATGAAGAAAACCAAAAAAGACACTTAACAAGGGATTCAGAAATAAGACCATTGACAGCTTCGCAATCCTTGGGATATTATTAGAAAATAGTTTACGGGAAACTTGCCATAGATTATGAGTTATTTTGCAATCTTTTAGTTATTTTCCTTACTTCCTTTCCATGAGTAATATTAAGTACTTTTCCATGTTCTGTTAGGGATTTTTAGTATGAGAGTCGTTTTATAGGACACACTTTCATTATTATAGAAAGACAATTTTTCTCTCTAATTCTCTCTCCTCTTTCTCGTTTCTATCCTAAAATTCTATTTTGGTTTGATTGCATCGCAATAATTACAGTACAGGCCAAAAAGAACAGAGTGTACAGATCGAATTTAAAAATAGCACCATCACATCTATTATTTCACCCCGTTAAAATCTAATAATCGCATCAATCTTCAAGCATAATACATTTCTTATTAGCAATAGATTCTTCTATCAAAATGTGGCATGACGAATAATTCACCAAGAGAATCATGTAACAAGAAGCAGAGACAAATGTAAGGCGCAGGGCCTATAACACACTGACATAATTCAAAGCTCGTGGCCATAAATCTTCATCTCTCTACCCCTGTCTACCAGTGACAAAGGCCCTTAAAAAATTAGCCATCTAAATCCAAACGTCATGAGTGAAATAAAAGAATCTGACATCTTGCTGACCAAGTTTTTAGTTGATTCCTGCTACACAACAATTCCAAATATGACTTGTATTCTTTTTCATTTCACTTTATTATTTCTCCAACCAGGACGTCAACTTGCTCTATCAAGATTAGATGCCAGGATACAGCCATGAAAACTAAAATCATCCATCCAAAAGCTAGAAAGAAGATTTAAAGTTTGTGTCATCCATAAGCATGTGGCAGATGCCCCCAGTTTTCAACTGGAAATGAAGTCTACTAAAGTAAACAGGACAACAAGAAACAGACTGACACCCTGGTCCACGATCATGTGCAAGTAAAGGATGCAGAATAGTCAATTGCACCACGTCAATCAGAATAGCCAAAAGGGAAAAACCATTGCACACAATACCGCAACAAGTCAAGATATCAAGTATAACACTCACCCACATGCCCATTGGAAGACATTCTCCACCATATTGCGCTCAAGCAGAATATTTGTTTGCCATTCAACCCACTCACCATTTTCCTGCCAATAAAAAATTTGTAAGAGTCCTTGAAGGCACAGATGCTTCAAATAAAATGGTTCTCGCTGCACCTCAAGACTGCCACTAAGATCAACTTGCATACCCACCCACCCACTCAAACATCTATATATATAATCTACTACTAACACACACACATATATATATATATATATAGAAAATAGCTGAACACAATCAATAGATCTGAATGTTGAGCTCTGTCATATACGTCAATAAGGTGGTTTAATAAACACCTTTTTTCTTTGTGATGATGGTTGGATGTGTAGGCTTCATACCAGTAATGATGACACGCAGTGTAATAGATGACAGTATTTACCAAAGAAAAACATGAAATTTAAAAAAACCTGCAAAATTGTCTGTATATCATTGTTGTCCTTCCCCAATTGAATAAGTTTGTTAGCAATACGAGTTATATGTCCAATATACCCTATCCTGGGTGGAGGTCTACCCTCAGCAGGGACAGTCGGCTGCAAGAGTATTCACCAAAATTAATTTCATTATAATTCAAACACATTGGGAAAATGTAATTTACCACGACATAACACATTGAATTGAGTATATGTATATGTTAATACATATGTAAGCATGGGAGAAATCTAGATCAACCTAAGATATACAGAAAAATTACCCTGTTAACATCAGCTACCAATGTGAAGTTCTTTTCTGCTTCAAGAATCTTGCCAGTAAGATTACAGTCATGAAGTAGATGTTTAACAAACTCAGCATTCTTGCTCTCCAAGCAAGATACTACTATTTTTTCTACATGATGATGTAAGAAGTTGTTGTACGGATACCTATAATAAGGCGAAATACAATTTAGAGTACTCAAAATTTTGTTTACCACAAGAAGTGAACACAATCTGAAACTGGGGCAAGAAACTTACTCAAAAAACAATTCTAAGATACGTTGTACAGCACCCAGACGAATTATTTCCTTTTCCGCAACTTCACTGCTAGCAGTCACCAAGACTGAGATGAACTCAACAATCTGAAAGATCCATTGCTCACAATCAGATTTGAGCATTCCATGCCATTGATCAAATGAAGATTTTAAATATGGACAAAGAGAGAGAATGAAAGGGTGAATGAATGTGTAAAACACACTTTTAACAAAGCATAAGCATGGATTTTTTACTGTTGTAAGTGGATATGCAAGTGAAATTCTTGTAGTCATAATGCTCCAATAGAAAAAAATAAAAAAATTGGTGAAGAACAAGAGTCAATATGAAATCAAAGAAATATTAATGCACACCAAAACTATACAAAAGATACCTTCAAGCGATGCTTTCCAAGAGGAGGCTGCAACTTGCCATAAGTAGTTAGCAAGACGTTGTCCTCCGATGAAATATCCAAAAGTTTGAGGAGATCACCTGCAGAATAAAGCCAGTTTAATGTCTTCATGCCAACTAGCACATTCCACAAGACTATTGCTGATGGCATCGCAATAACAAAATCATCTAGGAAAGGAGATGGCTTGGCTGAAACTTCAATACTTTGCAACTTGACGCACTTCTCCTTCTTAAATATACTAATTTGTCGCATTTTTTTTCCTTTTTTTCCTTTCTAACTAAAAAATAGCAGGCATATGGCACGCATTAGTATATAACTTGTATGTGAAAGAAGGTAGCAACAATTCTACTAACATTATTTCAAGATGTTTGAGCCATAACACCCATTGATTTATAAAAACAACATTAAGCCCCTGTTTGGCCTCCATTAAAATTATAATTCATTTTTGTCTCTCTTCTTATCAATCACACATTCTCTAATAAAATAATATTACTCATAAACTTAAAAATTTATCTTCTTTTTTAACCACACGTTGTTCTTCATAAAAGTATTATTCCAAAAATTAAAATGACAAATAACGGGGGCCAAAAGGTGGCTAAGAAAACTCAAATGAAGTAACAGTGCATTACAAAAGCAGTTACCACTTCTATCACAAACAAACACACCAAAACTCAAGAAAAAGGGGATGGAAGGAAGATAGCACCATTACCAAAAACTGAGAGTAGTGGGGTAGCTATTCAAAAAAGATTAACAAGTATAAAATAATTTCAACAAAAAAGAGCAAAGCCCATATTTCTTCTCCGATTGTGCATTCCATGCATCTATTTTCCACACATCCCCTGGAAGACTATCCTTTGATCAATATCTTACATAAGATGGCATGAAAATGCACTTCAGATTACAATTTGATTTACTGCCCAAGTATTTAATAAGGAACATACAAGCAAGATGAGCGAGTGGATAAATGAACATATTTTACAAAATTTTGGCTGAAATCAATTGTTAATTTATTATCCAAGCTGATGGGATATTTCAGGAGCAGTCTGTCACAGAATCATATTGACCCCAAGCAACCATACCTAGGCTATCCAGCATGGCTTCAACCATCTCGGGTTTGGCAGTTATTTCTGATCCATAAGCCAGTTGGCGATTGTAAATATAATAAGTCCCTGAAGTTAGCCTCTTGGGGTACAACAAAGATATGCAAATGGACAGCAAATTAACCAAAACAGATTTTGGTCTTGAATCCTCCAAAGCATGACAAAACAATTGTCCTATAAAACTGTGAAAACGGTCAGATTTCAATCAAGATAATAAAACAGGTAAATTAGGAAATGACGAGGAATTATAGAAAATAACCAATGCTACCTTGGGCTGGAGATTTTTGAAGCTAGCCCTGGAGGAGCATACCGAGTTATTGCACAAAGAGTTTCTGCAGCATTAGCATGCACTTCTGGGCAGTCCTGCAAATGTATGACACAACCACTTACGATAAAACAACAGCCAAAAATTAAAAACTAGAACTTAATCTTCAATTACTATTTTTCAAGGGATGACACTTGAGTCCATCCATAAAGAAATATGCAATTTCAATAACCATTAAGGTATGACATGACAATAATTATGAGCATAAAAAGCGTGTGTACATTTAATTTCAGTTTGTATAAAAAAGGCAGGACCATCCCTTCCACTCACAAAAGCCAAAGAACCAAATACCAATGGCTGAAGTAGGAAATCAGTATACTATTGATATGGAAGATTGTCAACGTACAGATGAACTGAACTTATCCACAATCATTCCCAGCACGTTCATATCTTCCAACCACTGCATTGAGTCCACAGAGTTCGCATACATATGTTCATCAGCACCAATCAAACGAATTAAAACCTGTTCAACAAGAAATGAATTAGGATTTTCAGTTGATACCATGTAAAGGGAAAATTTAAGTAAAAACTCTGAATAGCAAACCTCCATAATAGATGTAATTCTGATGAGGTCAACCAGCTTCTTGATAATATCTTGATGAGCCTGAATGAATATTAAATGAAGATATCAGCTCCCAGGGTTAAGTGTGTAAACGTAATAGCAGAGGGTAGGTGGTAGGATGAATAATGAACAATTCCTCATATGAATTCAATGAGAAAAAAATTCTATATATAGCGCATGAAGTAGAAAGGAATCCCAAGCAACACATAAAATTTGTGTGCTAGTGATCCCCTCCCTCCACAAGGAGGAAAAACAGGCATGCAGCATTCCAAGTTTCTTTTGTGCACCCATTTTATATTCCTCTGATGTAGGATGCAATAGAACAAGAATGAGACTAAGAAAAGAATGAGAAAAGAGAGAGAGAGACAAGGAGGGAGAGAGAGAATTTAGAAGGAGAATGTCAAGTTTATTTCATATCAAAGTTGTAAATATTACAATGCATAAGCCCCCTTTATATAGGGTTTGAAAAAACCTATTCTAAATAGGAATTATCTAATCAAATCCTAGAGAATCTAGTAAATAAAACTAATAGGTTTTCCCAAAATAAAAATCTAAACATGAAAAATAATCATATAATAATCTAATAGGATCTCCATCACCCTCTCCACTAGATGCCAGCATTTAGCTTTATTTTATTTTTTTTCCCATAAAAAGAAAGAGGTCTGTCCTCTCATCAATAGTAAGAAAAAACTAGCGGCATCGAGTAGGGAAATGAAATGTTTTAAAATACCTGGATCAGTTGAATTATTCAAAGTCCCAAAAGAAATAATACCATCAACAAGTTAAAACACAGAGATCTATACATCAAGTACTTGTAACTGGGTCTACAGCAGCTAAGAGACCATAAGAAATAATACTTGGAACTTACAGTAAGAAATAAATACAAAAATTAACTACTAAAAGATATTGGGAGGCACCTGTATGTAATTCATTATAGGAGTTGTCTTCCGCAACAAGAGACAGACAACAACCTAAGACATTGAAATATGATTATCAGACATGAACAAAGAACTAAAGAATAACATCTACACCGCATACAAGAATTTGAAAACTTTGGATTCTAGAACAAACACTGTTATTCTGCGACAGATTCAATTTATTGCAAAATATAAGTCTTAAGTTCATCTTTGATAATAAGCAAATGAACCCAAAAAATGATAAAAATATTTTTCATGTCTTCCACCCAATGCTGCTACTCCCTCGTTTTCTTGTTTAACAAAACCAATCTCTTATTCCAACGCTACCACCATTCCAAAGCAGAAGATATTTCTCTCCAAAACCAACACACATGCAGAAACTCAAATCAATAAATACACAAGTACAAACATGCAAAATAAAAAGTTATAAAGAAAATGCTATACCATTATCCCTATGCAATTGCATATACATAATTTAAGCACAACAGCATGTGCTAGGATAGAATGCTAAGCGACTGGAGTGTTTGTGATTAGACTTTTTTCCCCGCAGAAACGGAATAGGGTGTTTTTAAATTGACAAAATTATGCTTATTAATTTAACAAAATACCATATATATCAAAATTGTCCGAGATATCAATATATGCATTAATTTGTATATTTTTCGAAGGGTTGCGAATTTAACTTAATTAATTTATTATCTTTCATATGTTAATGTGTTATAACATATTTTAGAAATAGCATTTAAAATGACACAAGAAATTATGGTTTTCATATGTATTTAAGATATTTCATATGTTAGTCTGTCATATTATAATGCTTTCTAAACAAATAAATTTTAAATAATACAGTTTATACTAAAATAATTATGCCGTGATAATTTAAATAATATCTTTAATTTTCTAGATTTTACATGATATGAAATAAATATTATTTATTAAAAAACATGAGATATGTAATAAATAATGCTTAGTCAAATAATTATGTAGTGTGTACTGTTAAATGAATCAAATGCATGCCAAATAGTTGTTTTAATATTAACGGCATCAAACAACTTTGTAACAGCAGATCCACGTATAAAGGTCTTTCCTTTTAGCCTCATTTTCTTTAAATTATTTTACAACTTGTCAAAATGTGATAAGAAACTACTCATAAATCTTACCTTGCTGAAGTAGCCAGCTAATTGAGTACTATGGGGGTGTTCAAGATCCAAAAAAGAGAAAAGCAGGTTCATCAACTGTCACTCAAAAGTAAAAGAACAACTGGAAAGAGTCAATATTTAAACACAAATTGAGCAAATTTAGGAAAAATTCCACAACTCACCTCCTCGTCCTCTACCAAAGCTTTGAGTATTATATCAACCTCACAAGTGAAAATTTCACAAGCAATGAAAGGAAACCTACACAGAAACAAGTTACTCATCAGAAGCTTCTCTTTTGAAATACAGTATTGTCACAGCTCCTCAAAGTAGATTTAGTGCCCAGTAGCGAGTGTGTAGACACTTGATTCTATTCACCACTTACTTCAACGACCGCAGTTTCTCAGCTTCCTCTGGAGCTTCTTGAACTATGTATCTAACTAGTTTTTCAACTTGAGCTCTTTCCCGCAAACTGCAAGATGGTTCGACATAAAATTAGATAATCATGGTAAATAGCTACTGAATATTCTGTCAAAAGAAAATGGAAAGAACATATTTTTTTTGCGCAAGAATTGCTCCTGGTTGAAAGCATGAAAAATAATTAGTTCAACTGTAAACTAAAAAATGTTATCATGACCAAATTCTGCTAGAGAAATTTATTAAAAGGGAAGACGTGCTAGAAGTCTAGAACTACACAAAAAATTGTATACACAAGAATCAAAGCAATTATTATAAAATTTTAGCATGATGAGAGAATCAGGAGCTTACAAATTAATAAGCCGGCCATTAAGAGATCTGCATTCTTGAATTATTTCATCCTCGTCAAGAAGTTCCTCCAGTGTAAAATTTTCTTTGTCTAAAATGGTATCCACCTGAAGGGGAAAAAAATTCACTTAATAAATCACTCAGGAAATATCCTACATGACATTATCGAAATATTTCAAGAACGTTAAAGACAGGACCTAACAAAAACAAACAAGGCAATTGGTGAAAATAATACACGATCTCAGAATAAATCACCAGAAAATAGCAACAAGAATGAGCGCACACATGCATGAAATTACCATTCGACCCACAGGTTGCAGTGGGCCAGAGGTACATATGATTAAAACGCTATAAACTCTAAAAGTTTTTCTTTAAGCCTGGCACGTGTATCGCACAATACATACCCAAAAGATACATTTTGCCTTCAAGCAATCTACAAGCACTTCCCACGAAAACAGTGGTGAATATAAGCTATAAAATTTATTTGGAAACCAACAACAGGACACAATGGGATCGACAATACAAATGGAACAATCACAAACATGATGGCTTGGGATTCAAAGGAACAGGCAGGATTCATATTCCCCTTAATATACTATCAAGAGGATATGTATGGGATTCTCTGCAGCAGAAGGGGTAAAAAAGAATTGAAAACAATGTATACTATGATAATCTATAGAGCAGTACTACTCAACCTCGCCACAGAAGACTCTTAGTTGAGTACATTCCCACTTATAAGGTAAAAAAGACGAGCATATGAAAGCCTCCAAATCTCCCCCAATGAAGGATTTCTTTTATCATGCACTGTGTAGCGCACTTCATACAATCAAAAGATTTTTAATTCTTCTTCAATGAAATTTTGAATAAGATAATATTTGTACTGATTCAATATAATAACACAACTTTTTCGGTTGCACAGATTGGTTTCTGACTCTACCAAATAGTGAAATCCCTTAAATATATAACATGGATGGGCTTATAATAATACAACCACCAATCATCCTCCCCAGAACCCCAGGTACATGTGTCAACTTTTAAAGTACTGTTACATTGCTTCCCCCATTCAATCAATTACAGACTATGAATCGAATCAGTCAAATACAATGACATATCCTCCAATCATAATGGTATCACAGCAGAGCCTACAAACAAATATAATAATTCCACCAAAGGATAACGGTCAATGAGAAATGCAATTACAATCTCCCGGATACAATCCAGCCTAATACAAACCTTATTCTTCTACCATCTCTCCAAATTTCACAATACTCCAGGAAATTCACATCGCAGGTCAACAATAACCCATATCCAATCAGAATACCAAATATTTGGATCCATATTAACAGTTTAAAAAAAATACAAAATTATATTCAAGAATCACTTACTGGCGATGCAGTGGAGAGGCCCATGCGCCAAAACATGGTGAATCCTGAGGAGTGGTGATTCGCTTTAAACTCGGCCACACAGATCTGTCAACTCAAAACCCTAGGCTTATACACCCACCCTCTCGCCACAATATTGGGTTTTCTATTCGATTTTCCTCTTGAGAAAACCCCTATAATTTCAAATTGGATTTGATTGGATTTTGGATAAAGACGATAGCAAGGGAGAGTGGGTAAACCGTGGGTGTGTATTTACTTCTGGGAAAAAATAATAAAATGAGTTATGCTGATGTAAAAGTCCTTATTTAATCCAGTAATTTTCTATTTTTTAATTACATAATTATAAAATCACTGTTTACAAAGTTTATTTTCTTAATCACGACAAAATGGGTTTTTACGTATTTATAGATATTTTCTTTGACGTACGTGTGAGGAGTGGTGCTCTTATAATAAAGTCGGGTCAATTACAGTATTAATTGGGAAAAGGGTTAATTTCACAAATGGTCACTGAAGTTACATGAAAATAACAAAACGATCACTGAAATCTCAAACTTGCACAAATGGTCACTCAACTTTCACGCGGTTGCAGAAATGGTCACTCAAGGTAGTTTTAGGACTTTTATGTTTTAATTGAAACTTAAAGCACCAAAACACGATCACTTAAAATTTGGAGGACCTCAAGTGTAAAATTCATATAAAACCCATAACTATTTCCTCTCCAAACTCTCTTAACCCACCTTTGGACCACCAAAAACCCAACCTCCAATCACCTTGGCCGCGGACCAACATACCACCTTGAAACCCTCATCGCCCTCTTCACAACCCATCCAACCACTGGCCGTAATCCTATCGAAATTGGCCGAAAAATTGCACCAAAGTGAGCGGCCCACACACTATAATCCAAATCAACAACATTCACCACCAACTTTGGACCACCAAAAACCCAACCTCCGGTCACCTTGGCCGCGGGATCAACATACCACCTTGAAACCCTCATCACCCTCTTTACAACCCACCCTACCACTAGCCCAAACTTCGGCAGGTCTGATCGAAAATTTCATCCAAAACCAGATGAACACGCACCTAAAACTGGTCGGAAAATCAACTTCCGGTGACACTCAAGTCATACCCACCCCCACAGGTCGATCAAACTCCTTATTATGTACCTACAGATTCCTTCATAACATCAAACAAATCAGAAAATCCAAACAAATCAGAAAGATATGCAGAATTTTTCGGTCACAGCGATTTCGGCCCCTTCAACCGCGAATTTCGGCGTCGGTGATGCAACCCACGGTAGCGTACCACCACCCCTAGCATCGCCCCACCATGGCACATCCACCCAACCTATGGGTCTTGGCCAATTTTGAATGAACAAGGATGAATTTCGCATGGAAGATTTTTCCTCCACAGTGCGGTCGGTCCCTTCAACTGCGAATTCCGGCTTCGACGATGCAACCCACGACAGCGGACCACCACCCCAGCACCGCCCCAAATGGCACATCCACCCAACATATGGGTCTTGGCCAATTTCGAACGAACAACTCACGGTGGAAGGAAATGTTTTGGACAGTGCAGTCGGTCTTGTAACGGTTGAGAGATGTTGGAGAGGAAATGGTTATGGGTTTTATATGAATTTTGCACTTGAGGTCCTCCACTTTTAAGTGACCATGTTTTGGTGCTTTAATTTTCAATTAAAAGATAAAAGTCCTAAAACTACCTTCAGTGACCATTTCTGCAACCACGTGAAAGTTGAGTGACCATTTGGGCAAGTTTTAAATTTTAGTGACCATTTTGTTATTTTCATGTAATTTCAGTGACCATTTGTGAAATTAACCCATTGGGAAAAAGATGGGACGGTGATGTTAAGCTCATGTTTGAGCCTCGTTATTTAAAAAATTATTTATTCACAAACTCATTTTACACATTTTTTAAATAAAATAATTTTACACGTAAATTTAAAAAATTTATTTATTTTTAAATCACATATTCTCAAAAAATCACTATTACAAAATCTATTTTTCATGAAAATAGAAATCAAACAACTCCTATGCATTAATTGCATTACTTATAAAAAAGTTGTCATAATTTATTTTGTCACCCAAACAAATAAATAGATGAATTTATATATTTAAGCCCATGTTTGACAACCACTATTTCGGGAAAATAGAGTTTTGAATAATGAGGGTGTTTGGTGGAGATTAAACCCCGTTTGGCCTCATTTTTTTCATTACATTACATTAATTTTTCTCTCTCTTTATTTCAACTACATATTCACCAAATAAAATAATATTACAAATAAATCTAAAATTTTTCATTACTTTTCTATCACATATTCTCTCATCAATCACTATTCCAAAAATTTTCAAAACCCCAAAATGGGGGCCAAACAGGGGCTAAAATTAGATTTTTAGTGGATTGTGATATAAGTTTTTGAAATGTATGGTTGAAAAGACGATGTGGTTAATATTGATTGTTTGACTTTGAGTCGGATTAAAATCAGATTTTAATCCGACTCAAACAGATGATTTTAAGGAGAATGTATGGTTGAAAAGTAAAGAAAAAATTTAAATTTACGTGAAGAATATTTTATTGTGTGAATGTGTAATTTAAAATGAGTATGTGAAAAAAGAGTTTGAAAATAATAATTGTCGAACAAAGATTAACTTTCAATCGTAGTTGAAGTCGCTAATTAAAAAATCTGTCAAAAGAGTACAAGCATGTTGGGGCATGGCAATTTGACATGTGGTATATGCAATCTATTCCAACACAAAACCAAACGAAAACCGTAGCATTGAATGCCGAAAGTTTACACTGCTCATTGTTAGTATTTGTCTTATTTTTAGTTGTTGTTCCCTATGCATTTAACTTATTTTATTTTTTAGTGTTTCTAGTCTTTCACAACGGTTTTCATCTAAAATATGGATTAAATTGTCAGGTAGACCTCACACAATGAAATATACGCAAGTATTAAATGTCGCGTACACGTTAAAATCAATGCCTTGTTGAAAAAATGGTGGTGGTGTGATCCTTGACCCAAAATCATGTAGTGTGCAATGAACTCCCATTTGTTGTTGTGAACTTCATGTCCCCCAGTGGTCCTGCAATTAAAAAATGACATCTCATTCAATATTTACAACTCGCTAGAGAGAAATAAGTGATTAACGAGTCTCGGTAGTGATAAGAATTCCTTGATCAAATTGTATTTTTAGAAAAAATAACTTCTTATTTACAAGAATATAAGGTCAAATCAAGAAAAATAATCATATCATTGGAAAAAAAAAATGTGGATTGACAATCCACAGAAATGGATAAAATTACTCGATCAAATTGTATCGATAGACCTAACATGATTCCAAATAGAAGGGCTTGCTCCACCCATGAGTAAATATTTCATAGTAGCCTTATCAGACCACACTTCTTTCTTGGTATATCCAAAAATTAGGGATGATGAAAAAAAGGTAAAAGGTCCCTACAATGTTTCATGATTTTATCGACTAAGTAGGTTGTCAAATAAATTGTAATTGTGGAGTTAATTACAGCCTTCAATTGATCAAACAAACACTAAGAGAGTTCTAAATCAATTAATAGCAATGAAATTAAAACTGTAATGAGAAATAAACACTCCATTTTAAATAATACAAAGATTGACACCAAAATAGATTGAATAAGACTCATATCAATAGCTCAATAACACACAAATCAGCTCCACAAGAAGGAGCTAAGAATTCTACTCAAAACCATAAAGGAAACCAACCACAAATCATGTAAAACACAGTCGTACACAGGAGACAGCAGGGCAATATCAGATTATAGAAAAACCGAGCAAAACAGGGGCGAATCCAGTAGCCAAGGTCGCCGGCATGTAGCGGACCAGGGAAGAACCGAGTAGAACAAGGGTGAATCTCATAGCCAAGGTTGCTGGTCAAAATGCCAGTGAAGGGTGAGATGGTGGGTCTCACAAAAGAGATCTAAAATGGGCAGTGGACAGAGCACAAAGGAAGTGTCGCAGTTATCTCACGAAGGGACTAACGACAAAATCATGTGTATGTATATTGTGTATACATATTACAAAAAGGGGCCAAATATATAGTAGCAACTCAGGTCTACTAAGTGGGTAGGGCCCTAAATGTAATACTCGGTCCAACTTCTTTTGTGGGTTACCAATTGTGTATTTTGGGTTGACTATTTTAAATAGTCTCAATAATAGATTCCAAAAGAGCCATATGATTTTAATCCAATCTAACGAGTCATCATCGTCTCGAATTTATTTGGTATCAAAATATTTAACAGTATTTACAATTGAAATGATGGAAACAGAAATATGAGTTAATATATGCTCTAAGGTTGAAACATCTAAAAATATTTTTTTTAAAAAAAGAAAATTTTCTGTTGAAGTCTATCATGTAGAAGTACTCAAATTGGATCGATGAATGATATTTTAAACCATTTCCTTGGATTGGGATATGGTCTCTTTCCTGCTACAAATGATTTTGTCGAGCAGAGGCCAAACTTCTTACATAGACAACTTAATCATATCTTATGCACCAATAAACAAACAAAGTAATAATTTAAACAACAATTTTGTAAATTAAATTCCAACTCTAGACAAAGAATTTTCTTTTTTGTTCAACCCAACTTTTTGTTCCGTTTCAAGAATTCGAACAGGTTTTTGTATTGATCCGATAAAAATGAATTAGACTCGTAACTCTCCATTAATACGACATGGTTCGAATCCTAGGTAACCTAATGTTATATCAAAATTTTAATTATAGAAATTTGTATTTTCCCTTTGCAATCCACACATGCTAATTTGCTTTGGATTATTCACATCTCAAAGTCAGGCATCGATGAACACATTCAACTGTCAACATGACAGAGAGCTCTCATAGTCCTTCGACTATCAAGGAAAATCAATCATGGCTTCAAAAGGGATATCATTTTTTATGAATAAATGAAAATATTACATCTTTGGGATGATAAATGACATATTTAACTCATTAGTTAGAGTATTACTTTCATACTACAGGATCATGAAT